GTTTAATGGTGACAAAATAAATGTTGTTATAGCTTTATCCAAGTACTCGGATTCTGTTTATTCCACTTACAACTGCTGGTTGCTAGCACAAAAAGAACACATAAAATGAAATAATGAAATACGAAATCAGTTTATAACAAGAAAAAATTAAGACATTTACTTTATTGCATTATCATCGCCATCTGGACATTTTAAGGATGCCCGGCACATTGTTAGTGGCATTAGCTTCATAGACTGTTGCTGCCCACACTCTCTCTCTGTCTCTTTCTCACTCTCAGCTCTTGTAGGAAACTCTTGGAATAAAATATTATTCTTTTGTCTCACGCCCTTGTAATCGTAATTTTTCATATTTTTCTAGCAGCAAAAAAAAAAGAGAAATGTGTTTTTTAAGTGGCTGTGTTTTAAACAGCATAACCATAGACGTTGCGACATTAAGATTGTGGTTTTTCTTCTTGTTTTTAGTTTGCCTCTGCGTTGCTTAGTTTCTTCGGGCAGACATTTTTATATGTTACTTTGTTTTTTTGTGGAACCAAAAAATATGTTTTCATTTCTTTGTGTCACCAACATCACCGTACCTATTTGTCTTCCATTTCTGTTCGTCGTTGCTTATTTGTCCTTTTTTTGCATCCTGTGGCTTTATTTTTCTGTAGTCTGCCTTGTTTTGTTTTTTTTCGGCTCCTGTTCTGGTCCACTTTTCTTCTCGCTCACAGACTTTGCCAAATATTTGAGTGAATACCCATGATAGTCGTAAAGCAATTTTCTACCACAAAAGAAGCATTTCTTTTAATGCTTTTTAGCTTTTAATTTTTGAACGATTTTGTGGTGGTGGTGGTGTTGTTGTTTTATCCTCGTTTTGTTATTTTCCAGAGGAACAAACAAAATGTAGATCGTGTTATGTACTTTTGTGACTTTAACAAACAAGGCCGTTTGTTGTTCTTGTTGGGTCTGTTTCTTTTTTTTTTTTTTTTTTGTGAAACACAAGACATGGGCAGTAAAAAAATGGTACAAAAAGTGTGGCAAAGAAAAAAACCTTAAGAAACCTACAAATCCCAATGTGGTTTCTATTACCAAATGCATGTTTACTTAAGTGTCAAAAAATGAAAAGCCACCAGCCGGAAAGCTAATGTATTCTTCCATTTTCGGTTTTTTGTTCAAGGGAAAAATTAGTTTTTTTTTTATCGAGATTAAGATGTATTACATGGAATATCTTTGATTATATTGGATTTAAATTGTTATGCCGTAAATGCTAAAAATGATATTTTTGTCAGCATTTTTATCTTGGGCTAAATATATAATTAAATTGTGCAAAAAAAGGGATTTTCTGAAAAATAATATTTTAAATTAAATATCACTTTCCTACGTTAGTTCATGGTTGTATAATTTAACTTATTGTTATGATTCTTTTCCTAGTAGAGCTATTTAATATGACTTTATTTATTTAGAATATAATTTTCAGAAAAGTGTGCTGAACCTAGAAATTGGTTGATATAATTGATTAATAACAATAATGTATGTTAAAATTTTTGGAAAGGAGAATAAAAAGTTATATTCCAGGTATGATTAATATAGATATATACATAGGTCTACTTTTGTCAATTTTTTTCCATAATAATAACAAAAACACCTATAAGTTTCACTTTTTATACGCTTTACATGTGGCGACAGAGGGTATATATCGCACGACAACTCTCGAAGTAAGTATTCAAACTTGAAGATCGTAATATTTTTACCAAACTTAGGTGCAATTCCGGTATGGGCAAAATTTTGCTTTAAAAATATAAATCTTGTATTAAGTAAGTACCATTACATTTGCTCGATTTTATTCGTTAGTTAGGTTAGGTTAAAGGACGCGTGGTTGTTTTAGCAACCACTCTACTTTTGACCTGCTGGTCCATTGTGTTCATCCTATTTGAAGAAAAATGTTTAAAATAGAATAAGGGGGAATAAAAAGGAAGGAATTGGAAGATATGTCCACGTTGTGATCAGCGTGTTGTCTTTAGCCATCTTAATCTTCTGCCTAACTGAAGCATAACTGCTGGTTTAGTTTCAGAAAAAGAGAACAAGTCGGGCAGAATTTGCTTACCCAGTAGCTTCTGGCTAGCGTCAAAGAAAGTTGATCAGTGGCAGAGTAAATGTTCCACCCTCTCGGTTTTCTACTCGGTGTCGTCGCCCCCTCCCCCCCCCCACACACACACACACTTTGAAGTCATGGCCCTTATGTTGCAGTGAACCGTAATTAGACTCACCATAAGCTTTAGGTCAGATTTCGTCAAGGAGATGAATGACATTGTTCTCCGTTCGGAGATCACTGGTCATATTTTCTTTCAGACATTATATCACCTTCCAGCCAGTTCTGGCTGAATCCCCCAAGGTAGTGCTTGTGTAATACTTGGAAGAAGTGACTTCACTGAGCTGTCGATCTCTAGGTCTTCTGACTCAGAACAGCGTCTGGCCAATTCATCTGCCGATTCATTGCCAAATATGTTACAATGAACAGGGACCCAACAAAGTTTGACAGATGTTGCCCAGTGTATTACTGCATTCCAGAACATATATTTGATTGTAAAAGAATTAAGAGCCTTCAAAGCCGCCTGATTATTGACGTATATTGTCAGCGGTCTATTCAACTTATTGATTATTTTTTCCAGCAGTTTTCTTGATAGCAAAATTTAAACGATTTCCGGATATCCAATCATTTGCAGAAGACGAAAGTTCCCGTTCCACTTTTCCTCTTTGAACCTTCGGTTAAAAGGTGGAGTGTTTCGGGTCCAAGCGTCCCTGTTGAGTATATGAATGTCCAGTGATTCGAAACTTTTTCTAGCAGCCAAAAAGACTGAAGGGTTTTAAGTTGAGTAGGGTGTCGATTGCAGATTGGGGTATGATCTTAAACGCACCCGTATTTAGTAACGATGTCACGCTTTGGACTTTATCAATGATTTTCTTGAAGGTAGTTTTGCATAAAGATTGTCACCATACTATCCCTCCATAAGTTAGAATTGGCCGAACTACTGCTTCGTATAGGCATTTGATTATATGTGGCTTAATTCCCCAGCTCTTCCCTATGGAGTTTCTGCAAGGGTAGATTGCGATTAAGCCTCTCTTCGCTCGCTCCTCGATTATCCTTTTCCAATTTAATTTTTGGTCAAGGACGGTACCGAGATATTTAGCTTCCGTTGACAGGCGTAACCTAACCCCATCCAGCATAGGTAGGGACAATTCTGGGATTTTCCTTGTCGATCCCTCCAATGAGACAGTTGAAATTTCGTGTACAAAAGCAAAGGGCGAGGGGATTTTTTGTAGAAAAACAAAGGCAAAAGTGTACTCGATCTATTGTTTGTAGAGGGTGTAACCCGTTCGAGCTCTAGATAGGACTTACATGCGAAAATTAACAATAAAGGTACAAAGGGTAATATTTTAAATAATAACAGCTCTTTTAAAGTTGGAAAATTAGAGCCAAAATGTGAACATATCGATCCTCTTTTTCTTTTACCACCTCCGCAAAAGCTAAAGCCAAAAATGCCCTTAAACTGGAAAATGTCAGATTTTCTAAAAAAAAAAACAAATTTCCACCCCAATATTTTTTTCTATATGTAATCGATGGTATGCACGGGCCTTCTTTTTTTTGGGACCTCCCAACAAATGTTTTTTACGAATCGAGTAGCAAATATAGTTATAGTCCAAATTTGGTCGGTCGTATTATTGAGCAACTATGGAAGATATTTAGTCCATAAGATAAAAACTTTTGTACAATAACAAATCAAGTAAAATATAAAGTCAGTTTGTAATTTTCTTTAAACTTCGGGTGTCTCAAGTAGACATCATTAGATGTGATTTTGAGGATTACTCTTTCTCATATTTTAAACTCCAATACAATAAACAATAACACTGTGAGAAGCAATTCAATTTTTTTGTAATTACAGGAAAAACTCAATAGGTTATGACAGGAGAGTTAAAAATAGAAGACATCGTATCGGCGTTTTTAAAGTTTACATCGCAAAGTGATCTAAAAAAGGCCTAAGAATACATCAAGAGTCAAAGCTTTAATTTTATTATTTATTATTAATAATAGTAAAATCGCATTTTAGAGTATTTAATGTGAGCTTATTCAAAATTCTCCTACAAACCATTATTATAGATTGGTGACGTCGAAAACAAATCTATTCTTATTCGAATTTAAATATAAGTCACCAAATATTTTTTATTTCAATTATGTAACAAGAATATATTTACATCAATGTTGGCAAAAAAAATCTCAGAACAAAAGAAATGTATAATCTTAATACGTTCAATAATAAATAGGATCAATTTTGGTTGATACAAAACCTTTCAATTTGGGCGAAAAATTCTATGCAAAAAATGTTTATGTTTATTATTTCGGCAATGAATATATTTTTGTCTCATTCCTCCAGCTGGTAATCCTCATGGCGTAGGAATTAACATATTAGAAATAGTGCTGTTCTTTAAGATCGATTATTTTAATTCATTAATAGTTAGTTCTTTCACATTCCACCTTTTTGAGGTGGATTAATATTTTTTCAACAAAGATATATTTTGAGAACGTGTCTAGTGTTTAAACAATTCTTGGTTTCGCCTTAAATACCACAATATTTCACAAAGATCTTTTACAACACACGCTGTTAAATAACACAAATACATATCCTCCAATTCCAAATAACTTTAAATTCAAACATAAACCTTGAAACTTTTCATCCTTTTACTAGGTTATTGGGAAACATTTCCAATTCTTTATCATTTACATCTATCTACGTTGAGATTGTTCTATGTTTTACTTACAATTTCAAGCCACATGCAGACAAACACACACATACTTCCTCACATTACAAAGACTTGTAATCCTCTTACATTCATTTTCTCGCCATTACTTTTATGTGCTTTATTCGCCAGCATTTGACATAAATATCTAGAATATCTTTCATTTATATTCTCTTTTTCTTCTCTTCTTGTTCTCACACTCCCCACTCCCACTTCACCGCAAACAGAATTTTAGGTTTTCGTCGTGCCATGCCAGTGACGGGTCGTTTGTTAAACATAACCACGGAAATTTATCAAGTCGCCGATGAGAATCTTTTAAAGACATTCTTTGTTTCACCTTCATCGAATTTGTGCTTCCATGGCAAATGCTCCTACTATTGTGACACATCGCATGCCATTTGCGGTAACCCAGACATGTTGGAGGGATCGTTTGCTGCATTTTTACCAGCTTACGAGCAGGCTGGTCGCAAGGTATGTACACCCACAAGTAGTCGTTATTGAAATTTCTTTTGCTATTTTTTTGTTTGTCTTTCATTTGAAAATGAAATGCAAGGTGTGACTAGTTTGGATTTTAATTCGCATAATGGATAAATGGGAAAATAAACCACAATTATCACACCCAGTGTTTAAGAAGGTGCAGGAGGCGTTGAAGGCTAGCAATGAAGACTAGTGTGAAGTAAATTAATGTAACAACGCTATTGATAAAAAAACCTTGGATATTTTATTTGGAAACGTGTGAAAAAGTGGATAATTATATTAACCATTAATCACCGATTTAATTTGGTTTAGAATCTTCAAATAATTTTATAGAATCCATTCAAAGGTCTCTCATATAGAGGAATTTACCAGGGACGTAAACATAAATGACAGAAGGTTTCACATTTCATAGGGGGCAGGGCGTCTCCATGCGTACGTCCGTACTACATAGAGGTATTGCATTAAGCAAAAAAGAATTTTTTTGAATGGCAAAACGTTTTTCTTAAAAAAGACTTGAAAAGACTGTAATCGGTAGAAGATATTCTTTAGCTGCAAAGCTTGTCAGTTTGGTTCGGCTTTGAGTAGCTTTGTTGATAAAAGGCTTAGCCAGGAATTTTGGACCTATAGCTGTCTTCTTAAATATCCTTAGGTTCGCTTGTTTTTGAACGGATTCTCAGAGGTCTCTTCATGGTCCGATGTTTTAAATGGTGATTTCTTAAGAGTTGTAGGAAAAAACATCGTCTTCACCGAATTCGCCGCTCAATAAGTCCCTTGTTATGCATAGCCTGCCTCATTCGACAATGTATAATGTGTTATTCCGTTAATAAATTCTTAATTTACATATTTTTTAGTGACGAATTTGAAGTAAACATATCTATATAGACCTTCCTTAAAATATATATGCAGATAACTGTTCAAATAACTTTAAAAAACCAATTTTGATTAAAAACATGTCAATTAATAAGTTATGTGACCTAAATATTACATATTTAATTCTAAAGCCCTATTTTCAACATTGTATTATGTATTTTCATAGACATAAGCAAAAATTCTACGATGACCGTTAGAAGTAGTCAATGCTTTGCATAGGATTGTAAAATATGCCTCAGGCTTTTATATATTTCTATACGTTTTGCCACATTTTCCAACAGATTTTACATTTCCGGATTTCCGAATATTACGCAACATTACTGTACAATTCTATACATTTCTAGATAGAATATGATCCAATATGATAATGCAGTATGCAAAAACATCCTTGCGGAGGACAGTTCGTATAAGTTTAAATTGTTGTATGAACCCCAGATTTTGATTTGATTTTAGCCACAGTTTAAAGAAATTGCTTCAAAGATGGTACTTGAAGTACGCAGTACCTACCATCTCAATTGGCAGAATATGTTCTAAATTGGTTCATATAACTATACCTTGTTATTTTGTGATCTTATTAGATCCTCTTCTCATAAAACCTTGGGTACATGTCTGCTAAAATTTATTAAAAAATATAGTATTTTCCAACCAAATAAGCATTAATTTAAAAACAATGGATTATATAGTCCTAACAATCCTATGAAATTGTTCCAGCAGTATCTCCTGATTGTCAGTATTGTTGTAGAGTTTTTGAGGTCTCATTTGAACATAAGCTCAATATGGTGCATTCAATCGATTTTGGGTCTTGAAGATACATGTGTTTAAGGATATGTACTAACGGAAAAGCTTTTTTTTTTTTTTTGATATTGAAACATCATTTCAAAAAATTATCAGTTTGATTCAGGATGTTTCACCCATATAACTCTCATATGAAAGAGCTCTCCCACCCCTTTACAAAGAAGATCGATTGACAGCTGCACACTCAATTCTGGTCATTAGATATTCCTAGAATATTTTCTGGGAACGTTTAGGGATATTCTATTATCAGAATTAATATATTTAAGACTTCTTTCGTAGAAGGGTCTTTCATCTATAAAAGGCTAGTAAGGGAGCCTCTAACCATTGGATTTTAAATCCATAAACTATCATTCATAGAAGACCTGTATACGATATTAAATCCATAAGAAACCTGTAGGTGGCCTTCTGTACATAGAAGCTCTCTATGTATCTCTATCTAAATAAGTTAACGATATTCACACAGCGTAGTAATGTCTTATTACTATATATTGATAATGATGTCCTCAAAAAGTATCAGGTCCAAATTTTCTTATCCTCATAAAAATAGTCAATTTAAGTCCGCACTTTGGTTATATTCCAATACAATTTTAAGTATTGGTTCAGTTTTTGACAACAACTTTAAAAAATCCAAAATTTATCAATTGTCAATATGGTTCGTGTTTTGCCGATGTCCTGTCAAAAAGTTTTTGCATGTGCTTTTGATTGGACTTTAATCTCATAGAAAGAGATACCTTCTCAAAATGTTTATACACATATATCCACATTTCAACATCTTCCCCATATGATGTTAACAACAAATATTAGGTCTTTCTAAACCGACAAAACCTTTATGGTGATATCTTTGGAATTATGATGATAGAGCCCCTTCTCTCAAAAACTTTTCAAAATGTTTCATATTGTTCGGGTAAATGAGGGGGCAAACCACGCCTTAATCTAAATTCGTACCAGTTCCTGAAAATGTTCGATTTTGCCTAATATAATTTTAAATACTTAATATATATAACGGGTTGTTCATATTCGACGGACCCATCTGGCAACGCCATAACTTTTGACAGAGATGTCGCTTAATGACATACCGCGTTTGAAGCGTCAGTCCAAGCAGATTTTTACCATGAACCAATACACGCCACTCGAAATAGTTGAAATTTATATTCAACAGAAGAAGTCAATTGTGAAACTCAACGTGTTTTTAAAACATTAACCAGTAAAGAAAGTCCTAAAGTCGGTTGAGGCCGACTTTATGATACCCTACACCACTTTGCACTTTTTATGGAAGAATTCAATCATACACGCTATGATTATAATTATAATTTAAAGTTCAAAGGACTAAATATGCCGAAGCATTTGGTTCTTTTAAATTCGGACTTGTATTGCCCATTTGGTGCGAAATTAATTTGAAATCATATAAATATATATATGGGAGCTATATCCAATTCTGAACCGATCTCGATAAAATTTGGCAAAGATATTTCTGAGCTGTATTTGATATATTTCCCCAAATATTGTTGTTACAGAGTGCATATTACGGCTGCTGATGACAAAAATAACAAATCGGATGAACAATATATGTAAGAGCTATAGCTATATTTGAACCGATTTCGATCAAATTTGGCATACTTATTTTCAGGCCTAATTTGGTTGTATGTGCAAAATTCCACACTATTCGGGCTGATATTACACGTTTGGTGCACAATAAAATACAAATCGGACGAAGACATATATGAGAGCTATATCTAAATTTTGACCGATTATCTCCAATTTCAATAGGGTTCGTCCTTGGGCCAAACAAATGATTTGTGCAAAATTTCATCTGGATAGGGCAATAAATGCGAACTGTACTTTGTTTACAAAAATACATGGACAGACGGACAGACGGACGGACAGACGGACAGACGGACGGACAGACGGATGGACGGACATGCATAAACCGACTCAGAATGTGATTCTATGCAGATCATCAAAAGGAACTATGGGTCTATCTCGTTTCGTTTTGCCTGTTACAAACAAATGCACAAAGACATAATACCCTGACCACCTTGTGGTGTAGGGTATAAAAATTTGAAAAGTGCGCCTTCTAAGAACACCATTAAGCGTTTATACGAAAAATTTTCGACTGGTAAGGCTCTTTCTAATCTGAAGAGGCCATATAAAAGTCGACCAAGGCGATCGGCCGAGAATATCGCTGCCGTACGTGCCAGTATTGAGAGGTCCCCAAGAACATCCCAAAAACGCCGTTCTCAGCAGTTGGGCATGGCTCGGTCCACTTTACAACGGATTATTCGCATTGATTTGCATTTGTTCCCTTACAAAATTCAATTGACGCAAAGAATGTTGCCTGCGGACAAGCCTCGTCGATTGGAATGGGCCCAAAGAGTCATGGGTCCGTCGAATATGGGCAACCCTGTATATAGTTTGTATTCAGCCTTACCAGCCATTATTTTTATCAATATCATTTATTCTAATGAAAAAATAATATCAAAATAAATCTTCTGATGTAATATGATAATAATTCTAGCTCATAAAATATGCCTATATTATATATTAATTCCAGAAAAAATCTATACAATCCATTCTAAATGGTTTAATGTCCAGAACCGTTTGCTATTAGTCATCCATTCATTTTTTTAAGGATTAAAGCTCTTCACAATTTTACCTTGCATTTTCTTTTCATTTCATTTCAACCAGGACCAGGACATTGTTTTTCTAAATGTAAAACTTAGAAAAAGAAGAGAAAAACACAATCCCTGGTGCATTTTATTCAAACACTAAAATGCAAACAATGACAACAACAACAGCAGCAGCACACCATGAAAGTCCAGGCAGGCTCACAACAATTTGTGAAATTAGAATAGAAGTGAAAATGGGAATACTTCTGTGCTTCATTTTGTCGGCATTTATTCATAGTTTTGTTGATTCATTTTCCCAGGTTGAAACTTATTATGACACTACAGAATTTAGCACAGCAGCACTCTTCGCAAAAAAAGTAAAATATAAAACTAAAAAAAAAATCTTGTTTGTTATCCAAATTTCTTAAGAATGACCAACAAAAAAGGAGGCACAGTAAACCCTGACATAAAAGGAAAAGCAACAACTTTAGCACTTGGGACTAGTTATTATGATATACTTGAGATTTCAAAGCGCCAGCCGTCCTTTAAACAAAAATAAAGGCGCCCTTTAAACAAAAATAAAGGAAGCACACAAAAGTAAGCTATTCTGGCCCACTGTGTTGCTTCCAAATTCATAATAATGTGATGAGAATACACAAAAGGGTAAAAACGCTTGCTGGTTTGTTTTTTTTTTTTTCTTTTGGGGAAATTAGAATAAAAAGG